AAGTCCATGTTGGCACTGCTTTTAAATACCAACTAGGATCTTGTTGGAAATTAGTTTACTGACATGATGTAGGTCGGTAAAGAAAACCATTTTACATCAGTCCAACAGCCACGCCAATTTCCAGATTTCATTCCCTTTTAATGCCAGTTTCCAAATTTATTCAATAAGTTTCATGTATTTTGTTGTATTTAGTGAACAAAAATTTTTTAAAAATTTGGGCAGAATTTCCCCATAAATATTATCAAAGCCAAGTTTTTTTTAACTTGCATTTGTAATAAAAAAACATATATTCTACAATTTTACCATACTAAAATCAATTACACCTTTTCAAACACAATCGCAAAGGGTGAACCGCATACCATTTTATTAATTACCTATGATATTCAATTCATAATAATTAATCCCCAAAACAGTTCAAAACTTCATACTTTTTAAAATATAAATATTGGAGATCAAGCAAAAAATAAAAAGATTTCGCAATGAAGCTAAAACTAGCAGTTAAAATTATTAACAGAAATAAAAAGACAACCATGCAAAGTGTGCAGACAATGTATCAGAAAGCATAATTAAGAAGCTTGATAGTTTGGATCAAAAACAGGGATGGTAAACGTCATCTTGAGGCTAAGGCTGAGGCTGAGGTTGCTGCTTCTGTTGATATCCAAGCAATAGGGGAGAAGTCTAGGTGGAATCAATGGAGTAGGTGAAGGGTGTATTTGGGCGGAGACCCAAGCCCTGGCTATGTGGTGAGGCAAATGGATGATGACCTAATTGGGGGTTGACGCCATGAGCAACGAGAGCTGCCGCAATAAACCATGCACTCGTTTGGAACTTTTCAAATAAAAAGTATAAAAAGCAGCTATTAACACAAGTATCAATTTTCAAATAACCTAACCCAAGCCCTTTCATAAATTTTTTTTGCTTCATAAATTTTTTTTGCTTCATAAAAGTTTTCAGGAACTTTTTCCTGATCTTTAGCACTTAATAGCCTCCTACATCTTTTCATGATAGCATTAAAACCACCACCAGTTATATTATTCGCAATCTTAGTGTGCAACATATAGGAGAGCTAGCTGAGTAGTGTCTCATTTCTCTTAGAATTGCCGATCGATAATGTAGATGCATAAAGCAAGTTATAAAATGCCTAAACTTGATTATTTGGTTCCTCATCTAGATGTTGGTTAGGGAAATTGCCTTCAATTTCCCAGTAATCATCATCCTTTTGACAAAATGCATCATACACCATTTCACAGAAGTCATTCCGATCATCATGGCATGCATCTTGACTTTGCAATGATTCGCCTAAATTACCAATAGACCATGGATCTAATGAATTTACAAGTGTCTCACCATGTGCCCACCAAACAGAATAAGCATTCATAAAACCATTCTCAATAAGATGTTCTTGTATCATTTCTCGAGTCATCAATGGTAAATTAAAGCATTCAGTACAAGGACATCTAATTAAATCATTCAATCCAAGACCAAGCTTATTGTATGCAAATTGAAGAAAATATTCAACTCCATTGTAACATTCATCATATATTTCTCCTCGAGAAGTTGGACGTCTATACGTCCAACTACGATGATCCATAATTTTATTAAATTAATGACACAAAAATAACATGATTAGTCTCAAAACAATTATCATATCTTTTATATATTTTATAATTCATTACTAATTAAGCTAATATAAAAACATGTTAAATTCACTCATTGAGAAGATATTTCATAACCTATTTTTATTTATTAAAAAATAAATATTTAACTATACAATTATAATAGTATATTGAAAATAAAACTTACTGTACATTGAGGATCCTCGAGGCAAAATATTAACCTACAAAATAGTTATTAAATTATTAATTTATATATTTTCTCATAAAATTTATAGAAATTACATTTAAATTTAATATTATACAACTTCAAATAGATATAATAACAAAATAAAGTTAGTTATTATATTG